GGTGCGAGCTAGGCAAACTGTTCTACCACTGAGCTCTACTCCCAACCTGTACCAAGTTATAAAAATGCTGCAGTCAGCAAAAGCACTGGATACGGAGGCTGCACTGTGTTGGAGACCTTAGCTGTGACACTGACTCCAGGGTGATCTTTCTGAGCCTGATAAGAGTAAAATGGAAGTTCCCCCCACCCTGCTACCACTACCACGCAGACGGTAAAATGCCACACTGGTAAACGGCCTCTTTTGGACACTGTCTCTCTGCTCTCCTTGTATAATATGGAGAGAAAGTGGAAAGGGGATAGACTGGATGTGGGACCAACAGGCATATCCCGTCCCTCGGGCTCACCTGGATACGCCCTAGCAGGAAGCCATGATCCCGAACATCCCACATCTGGACACGCTAACAGACCTACCAAGCCTTGGGCCCTGATGGGGAAGGGAGGCAAGTTGGGGAGAATGTGGTGTTGTCCTCATGGCCCCCAACTCCTCCCTTTTCTGCATAGTCTGCAGGGGCTCAGTACCCAGGCATGTCTTGAAACCCTTTTTTGGATGCTAGGCAGGAAACAAAGCAAGGTTCAGCAAGACCAGGATCCCTGAGTGGCTGGGCTATTCTGGGGAGTCTGCAGGGCTTCCAGTACCCTCACTGCCATACAATGCACATGTTTAGCCCCAAACCCATCCTCTGCCAGCTGGCCAGCGACCACCTTGACTTAGGGTAATGACTTCCATGTGTTTCTATAAGAACTCGGCTAAGTCTTTCCCCCCAGTTCTTACCACTTCTTGTCTCCACTCCCTCTAGGCTTTCAACTCACACTTGGCCACCTTTGTCCCCTTTGCTCCTGGTTGGGGAGGGGGAGAATAACAAGGAGACAAGGTTTTGGGGAGGTGCCATCCCTGACTGCCCTTCTTCACAGCCTCAGGGCAGGGGGCCATGCTGCCTGTAGCCCTTGGCAGTCCCTCTGTGAGAGCTGTGGGTGAAGCCGGTAGCCTCCCAAAGCCTCAGTTACCCCATCCCTAAAGTGGGAATAATAAGCTTTACTCAGGTTAGGGAGGGGATCCTGAAAGCCAGGAGGCTTGAGTTTGAGTCTTTTTTTTCTTTTCTTAATGTGCCCAGGTTGGTCTCAAATTTGCTATGTATCCTTGAACAAATCGTGATCCTTCTGCCTCAGCTTCCCAAGTGCTAGGACAGGCAGGAGCCACCATGCACAGTATAGAGTCTTGTCTTGACTGACTGGCTATGTGTCCCTAAGCAGGCTCCTGCCCCTCTCTGCGCCACATGTGTGATTTCATAAATGTAAAACCTGACAGACTTTACATTTATGAACACATGACAAAAGGCATAGGAAAGAATATCAACTTGCCTGCAAACAAAAAATGGGTGGCCCTAGGTTAGGATCCCTTGCTACAGTAGGCAAAGTTACTGCCAGCTTTCTCTGACAACAGGCCCTACAAGGGTTTCTGCCTGCAGCATCTGGTAGGGACAGGGTGGCGTTGAGGACAGAGTGTCCCTAACTTGGGTGGAGAACTGGGAAGGCTATGGCAAACCTCCACCATGGCGGGATGTGAATGAGCTTCCAGGGCTACAGAGATCTGCTCTCCTCTGGCTTCTGAAAGGCGACCCCCACATCTTGGTTTCAACGGGAGCACTCAACGGGAGCACTCCCCTGATCCTGACTGTCCCCTGTCCCTGCCCCCAGACTGACTCTCACGACCTGTCCATTTAAGCCAGGCCGCAAACTATCAACTTCTACCCACATTTATTCCCAGACCCTGGCAAGGACGGGTGGAACCCCAATTTTGGCCACACCTTGACCCTTCACTGCTTACGGCTGACCCCTGATCTCAGTCACACAGCGACCCCTTGACCTTGCCGCTGACTGACCCCCAACGGGAGAAGTAAAGGAGAACAATTAAATGCTAAATTCTGAGTGCCATGGGACGTCAGAAACAAGGGGAGAGGGATGAGAGGGAGGGTAGATACTGGGCGGAGGGTAGAGGCTTCCCGGAGGAGCCTGATGGCCAGAGGCCACTGTCGGAGAAGGTCGGAGAGGCCTTGTGCGGGGCACGTCGCAGGCGCTCGAGGAATGCGAGCTGCCTGAAAGAATGAAGGAAGGAAGGAACGGGGTGCGATCCAGGCGGCCACCCGGCCGCGGCAAAGCGGGGCCGGGGCAGGAAGCGGGGTGGGGGCGCGCGGAGGCTGCAGCAGCCCGAGCGCAGCTGGGGGCAGCGGGAGAGCAGTGGGGTCAGCGACTCCGCCGGGTGGGGGTGCCCCAGCCCGGGAGGCTGGGAACGGGAGGCCGAGCTGCTGGCAGAGCGGCGGGGGCGCCGCTAGGCTCCGGATGAGCTGGGAGCCCCGCCCGCGGGCTGCGGAGGGAGCCGGAGCCAGAGCGGAGCCAGAGCTCAGACATCCGGGCGCCAGCGAACACCTGCGAGCGGCCCCCAGGGCCCGCGGGGAGGGGTGGGGGGAGCGCGGGCGTTGAGCCGGGGGCGGGGCGAGGGGCGGGGCCGGTCGGCTCCACCCACCCGGGCTCCGGGCCACGTGGGCCGAGGCTCCGCCCTACACCGGCGCGGTGCCGCCGGGGATGGCGAGCGGTTCTTTACCCCTAGGCTTGCGAGTGTGTGTGTGGGGGAGCCCCTGGAAGCAGCTCTGCAGAAAACGATAGTAGCTTTTAGGGTACAACCTGGGGAAGAGTGGTGGTCAGGATAGGCCATGAGGCCCTGAAGATCGTTTTAACTGAAGGATGTCCCGCACATCCACAGCTAGCCTCTAAAGGCCACCATCGGCGCTGGGCTTATTCTTTTCTTCTGGTTTTTTTGTTTGTTTATTTACAAAGTAAAGACCTCCCGAATGTCTGTGCTTCAGAGCTGATGGAAGATCGCGTGCGAAATGAGCGCGATACACTGTTAACAGTGAGTCTTGTAGTTCAGGGAGCCTGGTAAATTTTTGTGTTTTATATGAATCACATACCTGGACGAGATGTACCATCCATCATCCATGCCTTTCAGAGAAGCAGATCTAGGGTGGCCTTAGGTCTTTCCTTCAACAAGCTCCAGTTGGGTAACCAAATACATGCCCAGTTCAGGGGATGGCAGGAAAAAGAACCGGTCTGAGATCAAGGTGAGAACATGGGCTTTGAAGCTAGAGGAAGATGGCATTCCTAAAACTCCACTCTGCCACTTCCTTGCTGTGACGTGGATCAAGCTATTCAGCCTTTCTGTTCATTTTCTCTGTAAGACTGGAGTAACTATACCTATCTCGCTGGGTGGTAGTGATGATTAGGGGGAAAAAATAAGATAAAATGGAGTCTGGCACCTGGTCACCCAGTGTGATTATGACAGAAGACGCTATCCTGAGTTTCAGGAATTGCTTTCATTTTAATGACTACTGGATTGGCTCGAGGGTCTTTAGCTTTTGTCCTGGCCACCTGAACAGCTCAGCTCTAGGAGTCCTGACAAGCAATTTCCTTGGAATTAGCTTAATAATACCTCGTAGGTGTGTGATGCATTTCAAAGAACTTTCCCACCATTACCTTCTGTCTAGGACGAAGCAAGGCTTGCGCTAGGTCACATGGCAGATCAGCGATGCGGCTTTTCAATCCTTCCCTAGTCTTGCAACTTCTGAGCCAGCAGAAGGGAGGATGCTGTGCTCAGATGCCTGGCTTTGTTGCCCTTCATGGCTCAATGTGGGGCTGTGCACCTCTGAACTGCTTCCTCAAGATCAGCTCCCTTTTACAGATGGGGAAACTGAGGCTCCAGAGAGTTCTAGCCTGCTGGTACGTGGCAGAGCAGGAATTTGCACTTTTGTGTGGCTGTCCCCAGAGAACATAGTACACCTAACATACAATTCAAGATAGACTTACTAGGATCTTGCACTTTGTTTGGGACAAGGGTTTCTCGAATGGAGGCTGAAGACTTCCAGAAGGTCGGAGGTCTGCTGTAGCTGCAAAGCTGTGTGAACGAACCTTCTATCAGATTATCAGAGACCAGGACCAATGATTAGCAAAGACAGAGGTTGTACTGCCCCCACAGACCTGCCCCTATTCACCCCAGAAAGCTCACCAGGGTTAAGGCAGAGGATGATGACGGACCTGTTTGTTATGAAATACTAAAGAAACATATGCCAGGAGCCAACACACAGATGAGATCATATCATAAACAGGAATCCAGTGAGGCCAGGCGCCTGGTGGAGCCCACCTGGGGAGCCACCAGGTGGGGAGCAGGAAGGGATGGCATGGGTTGTGGTCTTGCTGTCTGGCCCCATGAAATGGCCAGTACCAGGCCCTAAGCCTGTCCACCAGAATCCTAGACACTGTAGCTAAAGTTGGAGGGGTATCAGGAAGAATAAGGCCTGTGGAGCTTCTTCCTCAAATTCCTACCTCAGAATTAATCTGCATGGAAAAGGACCCATCCTTCCCAGCTAGCCTGCAAATCTTTGTCAGAGCAGCTGGGATTCGAAGAAAACTTGTTCTTTTTCCAACTTCGGAAGCCCAGGAGGATGCCAGACCAAAGAACATGAGGGAAATGAAACCAGTCCCGGGTGTTCAGTTTATTCATCTCTAAAATGGGTCTGAAACCACCACCCATGACTAGGCACCAGATGAGGCAAACTCTAGGCTCCACTCTCACCACATCCCCTGCTAGAAAGGCATCACGAATAACTAGTGACACTGAACACATCTAACGCTAGGTCTCAAAGGACCTGATCCTCCAACTTGCTGGCTAAACTTGTAAGCCTTCTGGGGGCAGACCATGCACTTTTCTGCTCCCAACCCTCTATAAATATAGGGATTCCGTCTGAGCCCTTTCCAATAACCTCACCCTTTCCCTCAGTTTCAGCTGGGAATTTTCTCATCTCCAGAGCCTTTTAAGGGAATAAGCAAGTTTGCTCTTCCCAAGCTCCAAGAGGGTCCTAAAGTCAGCCATGTGAGAAAGTCCGATAGTACATAAGGCATGGGGGGGATGACGACTGATGAACTCATATACCAAGTGTTTAAAAATCGTTTATTATGCAAAATGTTAACTTTTATAAAAAGTTTAATATACATCACATGATTACAGAAAGTCACCTTCCTGTAAAAAAGGTACAAAAGCTATATACTCTATTATAGAGTTCATAAAATCAGGGCAACAGAGCCTTTCTCCAAGGAGACCAGAAGACCAGCTCTAACGCCGCCTTGGCAGAGATGGCAGAATAGCCACTCCCCCGCCGCCAGCCCCCCCATTCTTTCTGAAAAGACAGTCTTTAAAAAACTTGGGGGTGGGGGAAGGGTGACGCTGCCCAGCTGGTGACCAGCGCTAGCTCTGGCTCTTCAGGCCACCCAAGTTCACAGTCCTTCGCTCCCGGGCGCCAGGTCCAGCCTCGAGGCAAGAGGTTTGGGGAAGTAAAGTGGGCAGGGTGAGGTTGGGGCTCATCCATGCCCTCGGGCTTCCGGCCGGAGAGGGTCCCAGGCGGAACGGGCGCCAGCACCTGCGTTCTGGGCGGGGGAGGGAAGAAGACCAGGGAGCCGTCAGTTTCCGCCGAGCGCGCCCAGGCCGAGGCAGTCCGCAGACTGGCCGGCGCCAGGGAGGAAACTCGGACTCCACCTCCAGCTGATAACTCCGCGCCGCACAGCCTCCACCCAGTTGGCGCCAAAGGACCATAGGCGGAGCTATGACTACCCCTCCCTCTTGGAAGTGACACTAGTTGGAAGGGGACTGAGAGAATCCAAATTGTTTTATTTACTTTGATCCGCGCCTTGACTGATCTTTGGCCACTGGGGGCAGGACCAGGACAACGTGCGTTTAAGGCCGAAATGCACATTAGATGGAAGCCGGTTCTGCCATTTATTAGAAGTGCCCTCTTTTGGCCTCGGTTTCCCTAAAGAGAGGCCCTGGTAATATCCGCTAAAGGGTCTGCCAACTCCGGGACTTGCCTCTCCGCGGGAGGGGAAGATACTCACCTGGAGGTGCCAAGACAGCCGGGTCAGTGGCAGAAGCTCCTCTTGTCGCTGGAAATCACAAGCTCCGGAGCAAGCTCAGCGGTCTGAGAAAGGACAATAAGAAAAGAGTTAGGAAAGACAGTCAGGGAGTTCTGGGACACAGATAGCATCTGAGCCTCGGCACTCAGCCCCGCCCCGCTCAGGCTCCCATGCGCACCTGAATGGGGAGATGCGGTCCGTCTGGGGGTCCAGGGGCAGGTTCCGCCAGGACCACCTGCAGGTCGAGGATGTAGTCGATGACGCGCTGCAGGATTTCCACCTGGCTAAGCTGAGTGCCCCGCGGGACTCCGGGCACCAGCTCCCTCAGGCGCGAGTAGCAGTGGTTCATGTCGTCCAGAAGGCTCAGCGGCTCCTCGGCTGCTGGGCTCTTGCCGCGGCCCCGCGCGATGGCCAGACTACGTTCCGACAAACAGCACACCGCCTCGTAGCATCCACGCACTGGGCTCAGCGCCTTCATGTTGAAGTGCGGGTGGAAGTGCCTAAGTGTAAAGACAACCACAACCCCGCTAAAGCAGGGGCACGCCTGCAGCTGCCCGCCCTTATAGAGCTGGCGTGCAAGGCACGCCCCTTTATCCAAAAACGCCCCGCCCAGGCCCCGCCTCCCGCTCTAAGCCCCGCCTCCTGGCGCTGGGCGTGCACAGCCCGTTTAAATTGCTAACAGGCTTCCTCCGCCTGGTCTGACGCCGAGGACCGCGGAGTCGCGGATTCAAAGAATGAGGAAGCGCTAATATTGGGGAGAGGCGGGCCTCCTTGCCAGCAAGGATTTAAAAAATCACTTAAAACCATTAACTTTGAGAATTTGCCTTTTCCTGGCAGCGCCCCAGATCCTTAAGCTCTCCTACCCCCTGCCAGTCCACCATTAACCCAACACTGGTTCGAACCCACAGCTTCTCCGAGGTCATAAATCCCTGAACAGCTAAGCAGCTTTTTTTTTTTTCGGTCTTCTGCTTCTTTTTCTTCTTTTTTTAAGCAAAAGATTTTTCAAGGGAAACTTGTAAGGAATTAGTGCCGCCTTGTTCCCCAATTTGCTGTTCGTCTGACCTCCAGACTCACTGGCGTCAGGAATTATCTTGTGACCAGAGGGAAAAAAATTAATTGCGGTGAAGCTGAGGTTACAATGAAGAAAACAGATTTGGGCTAGGCGCTGAGATTGCAGAGGGAGGAGGGGAAGGGGGTTTGAGCAAAGAACACTATTTATTTGAGCAACAGGGGAAAAGGAAAAAAAGAAGAAGAAGAAAGCCTGAATCCATGCTTTCTGCGTGGGGAGAGAAAAGAACTCGGACCTTTTGCCCCATGAACTCCATAAGGAACCAAATTATGCCCAGTTGTGCTTTGCAAATGAATTTGATTAGAATTTTGGACAGGACTTCAAATATGGAGGACCAAAAGGAACAATTTCTATATAAACCTTTTTAGGAGTCCCTTCCCCACTGGGTCAGCAAATCTCTTTTAACTCTTGCTTCCCCATTTTCACCCCCCCAACTTCCACTCACTTCTGTGCAGAAAACAATGGTAATTTCATCGTTCTATTGTGTGTCCCTTTCTGCTATGGGCGGGCAGCCACCTGGACTTGATTATTCTTAGTCCTGCTGAAGTAGCTCCAGCTCTATCTGACAGATGGGGAGAGGAACCAGCAGGCAGGCAAGCTAAGTCCTGTATTGCAACAGGACACTGCACTCAGTATTGTTTGCTTGTCTTCTTGTCACTTCCCAGGACTTTTGGGAATGTGCAGTTCCAAGACACTGATTTCTACTTTGGAAATGACCAAGTGGGATTCCCCCAATGATTGCTTTCTTAATCAATCAGTTAGTAAATGTTTATGGAATTGCTTCACGTGAAACAGTGGCTCCTACTCCCAAGAATCTCACAACCTGGGGAGACAAGAGTTCAATAGTGTGTGGCGGTGATTAAAAGGACAATGGGAACTCAGAGCTGAGGCAGTCTCAAGACAAGTTATAGTGGAAAGGACTAGGAATTCCGAACCAGCTCTGCCAAGCAAGCATTGGTCATGTGATCTCGATTGAATCCGGGTACCCTAGCTTCAGTTGTCTTGTGAGTAAAATAAGGAGATGATGCTAAGTGATTATTTTAAATCCTTTCCAACTCTAGAAGTCTAAAGTTTTTGTGAAATTTAGACAGGCAGGTGTGGGATGGCTTAGGGCCCTGAAATGGGATAGAAAATATGCCCAATATGAGACCACAAGTAATAGTAGAGCCAGTCTTTCAGCTCATTCTTTTCCATCATGCCACAGAGTTCCATGTCCCAAGAAAGAGGGCTTCAAAAGTTTTCTTGGAATATTGTTTTCAAGGATAGCCTTTTCAGTATAAGAAACAGCGAAAATAACCCGTGAGTAGACAGTCTCTATGTGCTACAGAAGTCAAGTGCCAGCTATTTGGTCACGGGAAGGGAATACGATGGTTACAGAGACTCCTGAATGACCAAACAGAGGATCCTTTCTTCTATCACGAAGACTTCTCTGGTTTGTGTAAAGTAGTGAAGGCAGGAGGATCTAGAAAAATCATGGTTTTCAGGGTCAGGCAGATCTCTGTTCAAATCTCCATTTTCCTTTTTACTAACTTTGTGGACGTCAATATGTCACCTCTCTGCCTCAGTTTTCCTATTTATAAAATGGGGCTAATCAGACTAACCTCATTTATTCACCAAATAATTCTTACATGTCTCCTCTCTGCAAGGCCCTCAACATGCCCTCTTCATCTTCTTTCTTAAGTCTCCCAAGGCCTGGGGGCCCAGCATGGAGCCAGGTGTGTGGTAAAAGCTCAGCCCACCCAGTTTCTCTCCCCACCCCGCCCCCCCTTACTACACTAATGCCGCAGGCTTGGGTAAGAGTTTATGGTTTGCAAAGCACCTTCACATTTATTGTTTCCCAGGCTGAAATAGTCATGGGCTGTGTGACAGAAGGCAGAAGGATGCAGTTAGCAGGCAGAAGCCTGTCCCATGCATGCTCTCGGACAGATTTCTTCCTGGGCCTTATTTTCAGAGAGGGGGAGAAATGGGGGGAAGTAAATGACCTTTAAGGGTCTTCTCCAATCTAAGATGCTAATGCTGAAAGAAGCAGGCTACGGTCGGGTTGAGAATGCTGAATAGAATTTAAACCCAAAAGACTTCTTTTCCCCAACAGCAAACTGGACCTGCTAGCTCAGGCCTTCTGCAACTTGTTTAGTGGTGGCGGGGCCTCAGCCTCTTATTCCAAATGCCTCTGAACTTTCTGTTCCCAGTTCTGCTCCTTTTACCAGCTTTTTCCCCCCTCTTGCATTTTTTATTTTTATGAAAGGATGTCATTAAGGCTTTTGTCTGCGCTGTTTTTGTTTCAGAACTTTTCTCACAATCCTATTTTTTGTTGAGGAATCCGCTCCTTTGCCCAGCTGTGGGTCCCGGTCCCACAGCTGTGTTGATCTAAGACTCAGCCCCAGACAGCCTGGCGCCAGGGTGGGACGTCATGCGTTCACACAGGGATGCGTGTCCCAGGCAACCTTTCCTCGGGCAGTCACCGGCCGGCGACTGCCTTCCCCACCAATGAGCGCCCGACACCCGAGAAAGGGGCGTGGCCTGAGCCGCCCCGCCCGCGAGCGCCTTGTGAATTGCAGATGCGGAGTTGATAACGTTCCCTGAATTGGGCCCTAAAAGACTTTTCTTTTTCTTTCTTTTTTTTGTCTTTTTCTTTTAATTCTTCTGTTTTACTCCCTTTATTTCCCCCTCTTCATTTATCTACATAGGGATGTAATTTTTCTTCCTTTCTTTTTTTTTTAACTATCTCCTCCCAGTGTCAGGAATCATTTTGCAAGCATTTCCAGGAACTGAATCCTCTTCTGCCAAAATTAAAAAAAAAAAAAAAAATTAAGAAGAGAAAGAATAGAAAAATAATTAAGTAACTCAGTATTGTGCTGTCTGATTTTTTTTTTTTTTCAGGAATTGGTAGAACAGCTAAGTTATACTGTTTTGTCTCTATTTTTATTTTTGGTGGTATTGGGGTTTGAACTCAGGGCCTCGCATTTGCTAGCCAGGCGCTCCACCATTTGAGCCACTCCACCAGCCCTGATTTGTTTAAAATTTAAAACGTGGTGGTAATGGGGTCTTTGAGCTGTTAATTTCAAAGCTAAAGTAATGATGATGAGGATGGCAGATGTCTATTTGCCTAAATGGGCTTCAGTCTACCTATCTTTCCCCCTACTTACATTGTGGATGAGGGGGCCTTACAGATTTGCCCAAGATTACTTGGGATATCAGCGATTGACCCACATCCAGGATACAGAACTCCTTTGATTTCTTGTCCACTCTGCCCCCTAACTCTCATTAGCACTCAGGTGGTCTGCAGCCTTTCAGCATTCCCAGATGCTGCATTTTCTAATAGGTACCTGTAGAGGCATGCTGAGGACTTCCCAGCCATAAGCTGAAAACATATCCCTTCTCTTTCTCCTCTCACTCAGTCTGGACCCCAAAGTACAGCTTGAGACTCAAGTGATACAAGGACAGCACAAAAGATTCCAAATCAAATCTAGGCTGAAATCTACTCAGATGACCTCCACCCTCGCTCTGCCTCAGTTGTCTCCTCTATAAAATTAGGGGGAAAATAATACACACCTACCTCACAGATGGAGGGATCAGAGGGGACAAGGAATGGAATGTGCTGTGGTTACCCAAGTAGTTTTCTTTATGTGCTATGATGTGATGGGGTGGGATATGGGTTGCGGGCTTGGTTAGCAATCCCTGCTGAGGCTGTTCTCAGGAATATGGGCAATACTGAGAAAGGTAACCTGGGGAGCATCAGGACCTAAGAAGAAAGTCCTTATGGGGGTGGATATTTTAGGGGTCTTGGTTACCCTCCAGCTAAGAGGCACTCAGAACTATCATCATCACTCTTCATTGAATCCTGTTTGCCAAGACCTATTTACCTTTTCACATGTTGATTTTGCTAGTTTCTTTGTCATGATTTTTGCAGTGCTGGGAATGGAAGTAGGGCCTTATGTGTGCGAGCCAAGTGCTCTATCACTGAGCTCCACCCCCAGCCCTGCATTTTGCACTTTGGCACAGTTTATGAACAAAAAGAGAGAGACTCAGAGAGGTGAATGTGCCAGGTGTAGTGCTGCACTCCCAGCACTCAGGAGGCTGATCAATTACAAGTTCAAGGCCATGGGAGGCCACATAGGGAGTTCAAGGGTAGCCTGAGCTATAAAGCAATACTGTGTGTGTGTGTGTGTGTGTGTGTGTGTGTGTGTGTGTGAGAGAGAGAGAGAGAGAGAGAGAGAGAGAGAGAGAGAGAGAGAAAGAGGTGTGAATGTGCTTGCCCAAGGTCACATAAGTAGTAACTGGCAGATTCAAGATTTTTCCCCAGCTCTGTGTGTTACCAAAGTTTCTGTACTGCACCTGCTTTTCCTTCTGCCCTTCCAAAAGACCTCCTGAGAAGGCAGCTTGGACCTCAGAAGGTTTTATTCCACAAGACAGAGAAAAGCAAACCCCTTAGAGGACAGACACTGAG